TTACCACGCAGCTCTTTAAATTAAGCTGTCGCAAATTATCTTCATGATTGAAGTGCTGTTTAGCAATATTAAGTTAGTGCTCCTTTTTACCACAGTGAGAGTCGTGGAGAGAATTTTTGACCTTGGGCGAAAAAGATGCAGAAGCTGCTGGATCCACAAGATGGACATCATGGCCGAGGTGTTTGACATGCAATGACTGAAAACCTCCTGAATGAGGATGATTGTAAACGTAGATTACACAAGTCCTACACCTTTTTAACTCCACTGCAATGTTGATTTACAACACATGGACTGTCTGTATTATGGTTACGTTTTTCAGTACTCATTACAGATAAAACCGAAAAAATACATAAATAAAAAAACTGGACTTTATTTGTAACTGAAGATGTATCACTTCTCATCCGAGGCTCTTTCTCAATTTAATGAAACGAGGAGTGTGATTCAAGTTATAAAGCTGTGGTGTGCTGTAAGCTTGTATTATGGAGACTGACACATGCAGATCAGTCTCCAGCAAGCTTACAGAACACCACAGCTTTATAACTTTAATCCCATATTCCTTTTTTCATTGAATTGTGAGTGCTCCTCGGATGATTAGCGAAACGTCTTCAGTTTTAAAAAAAGTCCTGTGGTTTTGTTTTTATCTGTTTTGGGGGGGATTTGCCGTGTCAAGGATAACTGAGAATCTTCACCAGCATTGTTACAGGTAAAAAAAAACAATTACTTCACTTATCTACACTATTGACGTAAAAAAAACACTGTAAGCACTTCACTTTTGATGATCAGATGGAAGCTCAAGACTTGAAAATGTTTCTTTTATTAGAAATAAAGACCTGTACAAAAAAAAAATTATACACTAATTATATATGCAAACTTAACAAGCTACATGTTTGGCTATTTGTGGGTTTACCTTGCAGGATCTACATTTCTATATATCAACTATAATCTACTCTAAATATTTTTAAACATGTCTGTTTGCCATGGAACGGGCAATGGATTCCAGCACCCCAAGGAGTGCCTGATTGAAAGAAGCACTCTGTTCAGCCTCCTGCCTTCACTGTGCTGCTTCCTCTCTGCGAAGATCTGCTTCCTCTTTCCTCAAGGCCATCTCCTCCCTCCTAATTGCCTTCTCCTGCTTCCTCGCTGCTGCAGCTTGGCGTTGCCTCTCCGCAGCTTCTTCTTGCCTTGCTTTTTTGGCATCCTCACAAATAAAATGGAAGTGTTTCTCTCTCTGCTTCTGGTTCATCTCCTCTTGTTCTGTATGCGCAGAAACAAAGCTCTCTGCTGCACTTGTCAATCTGCGCTTTCTATTGCCTAGGAATAACACACAAGAAAATGGCTGTTAGATGATGAAGTACAGGTAGAGTTTTTAAATAAATTATTTACATTAAAGTTCCTGATAATTTCAAAAGGTGTTTGTTCACAAGATCAGAAATGATTCTGTTCATAAAGCAGTCTAGTACTTTAATGATAGTAAGCAGGTGGGCATAAGTAAACTACATGTAGTCATTTACAACGGTTTGTGCTAATTTAGAAAAAGAACAGAGCATCGTTAATATGAACAAAAATCACTACACCCTGTATAATTTCAATAATAAACTTCATAAATGAAAGTTTAAATAATAAATGAATAATTAAATTTAACATTTATACATTACAACTGAATAAACAAGTACTTTGAATAGATGCAAGGTGTTTTACAACAAAAACAAAACAACATTCATATCGACATGATCAATGTCATGTTAAACACGATTGTTGCTTCTTCTCAGAGCCCTGTAAAGAGAGAGTTGCGACACTCCCATAGACTCCCATAGAAAGAATGGAATGCGGAAGTCACGTGGGTCATGCAGCGGCAAAGAGTTCCAAACAGCAGCGGGTTCAGCATTGAACGTTGTTCATTCTCCGTGTTTTCCCGGTAAGTTAATGAAAATGCGACACTTTTTCTCCATTGTGAAGCGTTATCTGACTGTTCTGTACCACAATTTATCAACATTAATACTTCATGTCGCCAGTTTTAGTTAATGAAACATGTTAAATTACTAGTTGTTTTAACTGCAGCTGCTCTGCAACATGACCGTTTAAACGAGTCTATTTCTAATTCAGCGTTTTAAAATATCTATTACTGCTTAAATTTTGAAAGGTGGTCTTTTTTAATTTATGGTGATTCCAGTTACTGAACTCAACTAGAAAATATTTGGTCTTTTTTCCTGAGAGATTCATTCAAGCTTTATTTCTACAGGTAAATCCCATTGAGCCTCGAGGACTCATTTACAAGAGAGACCTGATTTAACAAAGAATGATGACAACATGACAACAAGATTGACGTAATTTAGTTAAAGTTATAGATCGTTTGTCAAAGACTGCAGCATAAATTGTGACATTATCATTAAAGAAAAACGTGATTGTGGAGATGAGTCAATGTTTTCATGTTTTCCAGGTAAACCAGAGGAGAATGACTTCATGAACTGAATGTTGCATTCAAAGTATCACAAAGGTACAAGATCTCATTTTCTGTCTTCTATTAATCAATAACAGCTTAATCAAGATGATTGAATAAAATTACTTTAACACCATAACCTTCACAAAGTTGGTATTTACTGCAGGACTGTTAATTTACATTAGTTTTATATTATTAGTTTAGTGTTTGGTAATCATGGGTCAAGTTGAGATGAGACTCTTTCAAGACAGAACAAGAAATAAGAATTATTACCAAGATTATATCAGCATCAATAAACTGTAGGACAGTAACAAAACACTTATTAATGTTGATCCATCCTCCTGGTCCTGTTGATTCATCCTCCTGGTCCTGTTGATCCATCCTCCTGGTCCTGTTGATCCATCCTGGTCCTGTTGATCCATCCTCCTGGTCCTGTTGATCCATCCTCCTGGTCCTGTTGATCCATCCTCCTGGTCCTGTTGATCCATCCTCCTGGTCCTGTTGATCCATCCTGGTCCTGTTGATCCTGGATCATCAGATCCTGACATGTCCCCGTCCTCTGAGGACACATTTTCATCTGTCCCTCATCTCACTCGCCTCATTTCTGTTTCTTCCTCAGTCTCTGAAATTACAACGTCACTGTTAGAATGAAGATTATTGTTCAATAAAAATATGACATGTCTTATTTAACACTGTTCGTACCAAAGTTTAATTTAGAACAACATGTGTGATCACTGGTCAGATCACTGGTCAGATCACTGGTCAGTGGAAGTTCTGCTGTTCTTCTCATTTGGTTCTGGTCCATGAACAACTGGTTGAACCTCCTTCAGTCTCACTCGTCCTCACTGTGTCTCTGTAAACTGTCCTCTCTCTAAATGTGCCTGTAGAGTGACATTAGTTTATTTTCTTGCACATTTCTTTGACAGTTAAACATTTTGAGCCCTGATTGAAAATGTTTGTGCAGATTAAATTTACAGCTCTCACTTTGTGTTGTTGTGATGATGATGATGGTGCTCCTGCTGACTTGAGATGATGTCATTAATAAACAGTATAAATGGCAGTAAAAGTA